CTTTGTGGTGCCTCAGGAATAAAACGAAGAGGTTTTTCCACTGAGAACAGCGAAGACTTTCACTTACAAATCAGTAGGATGGCTCTATTTAAGAAGTGCAGGGGGTGCGGAACAAAAATGGCCCAAAATGATGATCATTCCTCATGCCTCCTATGTCTGGGAGAGAGCCACAATACAGCCATGTGCCTACCATGTAGATACCTTACTCCTAAGGCACACGAGGAGAGAGCCACAAGACTTAAAGGTGCCCTTTGGGGGAAAGCTCAGGGCGCCCTAGATCCTAGTGGGGAAAAACATGCCCAATCGGATAAGGGTGCAAGGGCCCATTTGGTGAGTTCAGCACTGACAACCTTGTTATTGGAGCCACAAACTCAAGTCTCTACCCCAAGATTGGCAATAGGAACTACCTTTGAAAAAGGCTAAAAAGAGAGCCAAACACATTGCAATCCAGCCAAGATTGCCTTTGCATCTGCACTGTACAAGCTTCCCTCAGAATTGACAATCTCGATCACCACAGAATCATAGCTCACCCACTCGAGGACATCAATCCTCCCTGACCCCGGTGATTGGTCTCTCCTCAGAACTGAGCATTGACACAGATGATCTTCAAATCAAAGTCATCCCAATGCCACAATTTGCCATTGGGGTTCAATGTTGACTCATTTTTGTGTCTGAAGATGACCTTGCCATCAAGAAGGGTATCAGTGTCCCCTCTAAGTGTCCCCAGATTCCTTGGAAGATGAGGTTTTCGAGGTGCCTCCCACGAGTCCACCCACATCACAAGACAAAGGGCAACCAGATCCACAGCTACCAAATCAGTGGCTTTCTCAGCAAAATCCATGGGGCCTGTTTCCATTCATGATGCCACTGCAGTGGGCACCCGCACAGGCTCCATACCAATGGCAACCTGTAAAATCACAAGATCCAGACGGGATCCAGATGGGACCACCAGCACCAATACCACTCTGGCGTGCATTCCCCCCATCGTGGTTCCTATTCCAAGGACGCACTCTCCCAAATTTCAGAAGCAGGCTCAGAGAACATTTCAATGCCATCTCCGAAAGATACAGTCACTGACACATCAGCTCCCTCCTCAACAGAGGGCCTTAAGATGTATTTGGAGCAGTTGATCTGTTTAATGCTTCAGAGCCACAACCATCCAACCCTATAATGAAGCTTTTGTACAACCCCAGCTCAGGCCCTGTGGTGCTCCCACTGTTGCAAGAGATGTAGGACATAGCTTTAGCCATCTGGGCTAAACCAGCCTCAACACTAGCATTGTCAAAGAAGCTGGAAAACCTCTATAGGATTAGGGACGAAGGCTGTGACTACTTGTTTCACCAGCCTCAAGCAACTTCATAGTCTCAGAGGTCTTACCAGCCATGGGAAGAGGTAGAAGCCATTCATCCCCCTCAATGAAGAGGGCAGAAGACTCAATCTGCTGAGAAGGCAGATCTACTCCTCTGGGGCTATGGAACTAAGGGTGGCTAATTTTCCACTGGTCATGGGCTGCTACCAAATGTTACTATGGGAAAAGATGTCACAGTTTCTTGAGTTGCTGCCTATTGATTAAGCAGAGTGTGGCTAAGGTCCCCATTGCAGAAGTACAAAAAATAGGGAAACTGCAGCTCAATGCTGCAAGGCATGGAGCAGATTGTGATAGCAGGTTAATGGTCTCTGACATTGTCATACAGAGATATTAATGATTATGCTCCTCAGTCCTTCCACTTGATACAAAAGACAATATAGACAGTCTTCCACTTGAAGGTCAGGACCTATCCAGTGACCAAAATGGTGCGGTTTTGGATCAGAATAGGAAGAACAAGTTGATAGCCAAATCCTTGGGCATAATCTATACTTCATTGACACCTTTTAAACAAAGGTACTTCCCAAGGCATACCCAGATGTATCCCCAACAAGGTGCATTATAAGTCTCAACTATTGGCTCTTTATCGATGACTCCTCAGGAAAGCTGGTCAAGCTTGGCCTTGCACACTATTCTATCACTGGGGTTTTGTTGGTAAACTGGGAGAAATCCTGCCTTACTCCTGTTCATTCTGTCAACTTCATTGGGGCCTCCTTATATTCCTGAAAAGGGAAAACATATTTGCCCCTCCCCAGGACCAAGATTATGATGTCCCTTGTTAAGAAATTTCTGTCCAACGGATACCAGTCAGCCAAACACATATAAAGACTCCTAGGTTATATGGCTTCCATCACTGCAGTGGTCTCATATGCTCACTTACACATGAGGCCATTGCAAAATTGGTTTATAAGGAACTTCAACAGCAGTTCCGAGCCTCAATGGAGGAAACTATCTGTCCCGAGAGTCATTGTAAGGTCTCTCCTTTGGTGGTCTATATCAGAGAACCTCCTCAAGGGAATCTCTCTAGGGGTCTTTACTTACTTACTTACTTACTTCCACCCTATTCTTAGACCAGGGTCTTGAACAATAAAACTGAGAAACGTAGCTAAAACCCATATCTAAAAACACCTAGCCTCTAGGGGTCCAATCCCATGACTCCCATCTTTTCTCTGATGCTTCACTCACAGGTTGGGGTGCTCACTGTTAGGGACTAAAGGAGAAAGGGATGTGGACTAAGAAAGAATCCACTCTTCACATTAACCTGTTAGAGTTGAGAGCTGTAAATGTGCTGTTGCTTTTTTACAGAGATCATCAGAGGAAGACATGTTGTCATAGCAACAGACAATATCACAACAAGCAGGGAGGCATAGGCTCTTTCCACCTGTGCAGAGAGGCCAAACTCATCTGGCAGTGGGCAATAAGGCACAGGGTGCAATTGACAGCTGTTTATATAGCAGGTCTAACAACACAGTAGCAGACAGCCTAAGCAGAGACATAAGCACAGAACAAGAGTGGTCTGTATCAGACTGCTATCTGGTCCCAATTTTCAAAAAATGGGGGGTCCCTGATCTATTTGCATCAGTAGACAACAAAAAATGCCATCACTTCTGCTCCAGAGCAGCCATGGACTTAGGTTCTATGGGGGATGCCTTCCAGTGGCAATGGCATGGCCACCTCTTTTATATGTTTCCCCCATTGGTATCCTCCACAGGGTAATTTCTAAGATAAAGGCAGACCAGTCATCCCGCATCCTTCTAGCCCCCTTCTGGCTCAGAAGGGTATGGTTCCTTACACTATGGAAGCTGGATAGAGAGCAGCACATGACATTTCCCCCAGAGGAGGATGTCCTCCACATAGGACCTATTTGCCATTCTTGGATACAATCCTTGCACCTGACCACTTGGCTAATCCTACAGTAGAGAGGTTTTCGCACAAGGTTGAACAGGTTATAACTGCCTCTCGCAGACCCACAACAAGAAGCTCGCATAGTTATAAATGGAAATGGTTTGTGCATTGGAGTGACAAGCATGGCCTTGATCCACAATTCTGTAGTTTGAATAAAATCTTTGATTACCTACTGAAACTGCAAGAAGGGAGTCTAGCGACCTCATCTATAAAAGTTCACCTAGCCGCTATCTCTGCATTTCATGTCCCAGTTAATGGACAGCCAGTCTTCTCCGTTCCAGAGTCCAAAAAGTTTCTTAAAGGTTTATTGGATATGTTCCCACCTATTGTACCCCCCATTCCTTAATGGACTTTGTCCCCAGTTCTTTCAAAATTTAAACCCATGGCCAGTGCTGACTTGTCTTTTGTCTTTTTGGTAGCAATTACCTCCGCCAGAAGGGTAAGCAAACTACAGACATTGCACTGTGACCATCCTTTTATTAAATTCCACCAGATAAGGTAGTACTCAGACCTAATGTAGAGTTTTACCGTAAGGTGGTATCACAATTCCACCTCAACCAAAACATCACCCTCCCAATATTATTTCCATTCCCAACATCATTGTTGGAACAAACACTGTACGCTAGATGTAAGAAGAACATTCCTTTTTTATTTAAAAATGACACAAGAATTCCGGAAGAATAGAAACTTGTTTGTATGTTTCAAAGGGTCAAATAAGGGAGAGCTGCATCAGTGCAGTCACTCTCCCGCTGGGTGGTCTCTGCAATCCTAACAGTTTATGACGAAGCTAAGGTCTCTTGCCCAGTGTCCCTGAAAGCTCATTAAATGAGGACTCAAGCATCTTCAGCAGCATTCCGTGCCAGACTCGCACTGGAGGACATCTGCAAGGCAGCAACTTGGTCCACTCCCTCTACGTTCATCAAGCACTACTTGATAGACGTGGACTCCAGAAGTGAAGCTGCAGTGGGAAAAGCTGTGCTACAAGTGATTTTGCGTTGGTCAGCCCACACCCTCCTCCTAGGATAGGTGAGCTTGCTATTCTCCCATGTGGGACTGCACAGAAGCCACAATGAAGAAAATGGGGTTGCACTTACCTGTAACCATTGTTCATCAGGTGGCCTTCTGTGCAGGCACACATCCCTCCTTCCTTTCCCCGCTGTGGACTGCCAAACATGCAGAGGTGAAGGGAACTGAGGGAAGGAGTGCTCGCCCTGCCTCTGTCATGTGACCCTTGTGTGGGAAATGGGACCTCTATAGACAGAGGAGAAGGGGAGCATTCCAGAGCCTTGAAGCTTCTTCAGAAAAGCTTAGCAGCTCTTCTCCATGGCTGGCCTGCAATCATGCAGTCCCATGTGTGCCTGCACAGAAGGCCACTTGATGAACAATGGTTACAGGTAAGTGCAACCCGGTTTTCTTGTAATGCTGACTTTTGATTATGCCATATTGACATCCATGTAGTTATTTTTAGTCTACAGTTGAAACTCAGACTGTATTGCAACTCTGTATAGACGTAACACTTTGAGATTTCTGTTTTGAATATCATAAGAATCTTAAAAAGGAATTGAATATTTGATTTTATACTTTTGAAATAAAATGCAATTTTATTGAATGTTGCTAGATATGAACGATGTGATACTTGTATATGTTTTCTCTGTGTTACTATAAAGTAATTAAAGAGACATTTGTTGTATAGTTTTCTACTAAACACCACAATAACATTATTTTTCAGCAAAAATGTCTAGAAAATTAAGCTTACCAACTGAACTGAAGCCTGAGTTAGGTAAGTTTTGGGTTTTTTTTTTAAGTCTGTGTTAATGGTATTTACAATGTTGGAAGGTTGTTGAGAGGGAAAAATACACACCATTAGTGTCTTGACTTTGAGCTTTAGCCCCTCATTAGGAAAAGATGTGATCTTCCATTACTTGGGTGCCAAGGTTTGTTTATAGGTGTAATACATATTTACAAATTGTTTTGACCTTGTGTTGCTGCTCTTAAAAGCATGGAGAACCTCACATAAAGGAAATATGTGTTTTTGTGCCTAGTTTGTTAAAAGGAAATAACCGTAATCACATGATTACATGTTAGAACTGTGTATGACAAGCAAGAATTGTAAAAGGAAATCTGCATAACTGTTTCGAAGCAGACCGCAATTATCAAAGAAATTACCCAGTAGAGTCTGTTAACTAGAACATACAATCAGTGAAGACCACAGGAAAGATGTGCATTTTTCTCTCTGCTGTCTGTATCACGAAAGATATATTGGGCATTGGTTTATAAACAATTCAAGCACATTGGGAAGGGATCCAGACAGGAGCTTGTGAAACTCCCATTAGTTTCAGGCAAGTTGCTATACAGATGAGGAGGGAGGGTACAGTGCCCAAAACATATACAAAGTCTCTTAGCTCAAAGGACTAGTTTATCATTCTTTGGATCCTGGCCATAATATAGTCTCCTAGTTTTAAGATTCCAAAAAATTAGTTTAACATTTGCCTATGTTGTATAATCCTGTTAACTGGCTGGAGTCGTGTATCTGAAACTAGATTCTCATGTATATATGTAGGATAGTGGTCTAGGTTCTCTTTGTTTTGAATACCTTTATTCAAATAGCATTTTGAACAAATGTACCTGTTATTTGGCTCAGAAAATTGAACTGGAGAGTTCTCACCCTATAAAGCACACATAAAAGGTACATACAAACTAAAAGCCCTAGTCAGAATTCAAGAAGGTCTTACTCAGCCCCTAATATCTGTGAATTATAAGACTTTGGGATAGCTTCTCTTGTCCATGGTATGGGGTAATGTGCCAATGTTTCTTAAAGTGCCAATGTTTCCTTTACATATCTTTATTTAACCTCCTATTGTTTATATGATTCTTTTACACGCATGCTATTGAAAAGAAGCAAAATATAGTTAATATTTCAAGTTCTGGTGTTAGGATTTGATTTCAAAGCAAGCTTTCTTTTGAACAATTAACCATGATTAGTAATAGAATCACTGGGTCATTTTGTTCACCATTTCAATTAATGCTATCCGAACAGTATTTGTAAAATGCTGCAAGCTCATCCAATAGGTATACTTGTTATCTCCCTCAGGATGTTACCATTTTATTTATCTATATTTGGGCATTTTTAATCCATTTTTTTTCTACTGCTCAATGCAGATTCAGTGGCTTCTCAAGTAAAAAAAAACAACCCACAAACATGCAACAACAGTCATTTGCTTGATGGAATGCAGTCTCTTCCCCAAGCAGGCAGGCAATCCTTTACTTCTGTAAACTTAAGCAGATCATGAGAGGGAGGGCAGGAAGGGTTGCCTCAGTGCTTAGTTCTTGTGGCCCTTTCTTACATGCCCAGGGAAATGCTGGTTGCCACTTTGGGGTCAGGAAGCAGTTTTTCTCCAGGCCAGTTTGGCCGCGGGGATCCTGGAGGTTTTTTGTCATCTTCTGGGCATGGAACAGGGGTCACAGGGGGTGTGATGGGAGGTATTTGTGAATTTCCTGCCTTGTGCAGGGGGTTGGACTAGATGACCCTGGAGGTCCCTTCCAACTCTATGATTTTATGATTGTTTCCAGGAAGCAGCTTACTTTTATGCTTCGGAGGGGCAGAGCAGGAAGTAACAATTCTGTCCTTTATAGAACATAAGAACATAAGAGATGCCAATGTTGGATCAGGCCAAAGGCCCATCCAGTCCAACACTCTGTGTCACTCAGTGGCCAGAAATACCAGTGCCATCAGGAGGTCCACCAGTGGGGCCAGGACATTAGAAGCCCTCCCACTGTTGACCCCCCCCCCAAGCACCAAGATGACGGAGCATCACTTGCCCCAGAGTCCCTGTCTATACCTTGTGGCTTATAGCCACTGATGGACCTCTGCTCCATAGAAGTAGCCTCTCCCCAAGTAGGCAGGCAAGCAGTCACTTCCTCACTCACCATTGCCCACGTATAGAGGATGGGGGTGGCTAATGCTAAGCATGCCCTCTGTACCCCAACTTCATAGACTACTTGATGGATTCAGCATAGTGGCTTAATTTTTTAATCTCAGGCTCTTTTGCCACCACAAAACTTTGGAAGCATTGCATTACAGATATGATAAGTAGCTGGTTCCCTTTTTATTGGAATTGTTTAAACGATACATATATTAAAATTATAGTAAAAATAAGAATCACAGTAATGAGTTGCTGGGGTGCAGGGAATTTGAATAAAATTGTTCTGTATAAGTAATGGTTCAGAATCCTGTGCACTACTAGTGAAAGATGCTGGCAGAAACATATCATTCCTGCCTTCCCTTTCTCTGAGAATGTATCTATGAATACCAAAAAAGCAATAAGTAAGATTTGGCAGCGGGGGGGGGGGGCACTGTGTAAATAAAGTTGCAACACGTGAATCTCTGCAATGAAAATAAGAAAGCAGACAAAAACGCACCTGCTGCCTTGAGCACTGTAGATTCTGATCTGCTGGTAGAAGTCTGCTTGTATCAATGGAAAGATAGAATCTAACTCAGTAAGTTTTCTGTTAACTGATATATTAAAGGAAAAACAGAATACCACCAAGAGCAGCAGTAAGAATGTAAGAGAGCCTGTTTGGTGTAGTGGTTAGGAGCACGGACTCTAATCTAGGAGAACTGGGTTTGATTCCGCACTCCTCCACATGCAGCTGCTAGTGTGACCTTGGGTCAGTCACAGTTCTCTCAGAGCTGTTCTCTCAAGAGCAGAAAAGCTGTCTCAGCCCCACCTACCTCACAGGGTGTCTGTTGTGGGGAAAGGAAGGGAAGGCGATTGTAAGCCACTCTGAGACTCCTTCAGGTAGTAAAGGGCAGGGTATAAATCCAATCTCTCCTTCTCTTCCTCCTCCTCCTTTCCTAGAATGGGGTGGTGATGGTATGATTTGAGAAGTATATCCATACAGTGATACTGAATATGACACAAAAAATTACTTCTACACAGCCTATAATTAAGGTATATCTTAAAGTGGGGATATTGCACCCTAAACCATATGTAAATCATATTAAACCACAATTTTAAATGGTAAAGAACAATGTAATAAAATAATTAAAATATCATTATTAGCAAAAACAAACAAACCCCAAACCTTTGCAGAACAGAATTTATGAGCAAAGTAAATGTAATTATGGTAGCATTGTGCAGTGGGAGTATCATAGTCAATGAAGTCAATCCAAGGCATGATTATTGCTGGTTGAAATATGGCATATGTCTGGCAAGACTGAGCAGTTGTAATACCACAGGAAAAAAATCTCCCTTTGTGTGTGTGTGTGTGTGTGTGTGTGTGTGTGTGTGTATAGTAATTATAATATGTCTCTACTGTAAGGTTAAAACATGTGCACCTTGCTAAATATAATCAGTAGTATCACATCTATAAATATGCCACAAAGGAAGTCTGTTCTTCAAAGTTAAAGACAGGGTCTGAAGTCCACAATTACTTAAAAACAACAAGATTTTTGTGAAATTGGTAAGCAAGTAATTACTTTTCCATCTTGCCCGGTCTTCAGAAAACATGTCATGGGATTTGTTTCAGTATGGCCCATTTGTTCCAAATGTATTTTACTAATTTTATTACCTAGGTAACCTGTTCCCTAGTCATACAAGTGTCATCCTCAGCAGAGTTGCACCCTTCTAAGGTCATTCTGTTTAGGATTGTACTAAAACTCTGCCACAATCCTTTCCCCATCTATGCATCTTTAAAAAATATGTTGATCAGGGTGTGTGTATGTGCACTTGCACATTTGATCAAGTCTCTGTGCTCTAGTTTTTCTTCTGGGAACCTGTGGTGTTTCAAATAAACATGTATTCATGCAATCATCTTCCTTTTAATTGGCTTCAACAGATTGTTCCCCCGTAGTAAACTTCATAGCATTGAACATCATCAGAGAGTTAGGAGGAAGCTCAGAACATCTGAGAAATTGTGCATCATGTAACAACTGAACCGAGAAGGAGTCATTCCTCATATTACATGTCAGTTAAATTGTACATGTGTTTCTGAATATGTTTGTCTCATTTGCATCTTCAGGTCTACCGTTAAAAAACTTTAAAATGTATTGTGCAAAGCGGGTTTAATAGTAATAAAGTTAGTTTTTACAGATCCAGTATAGTGAAACATATTTTGTGTTAGGTGGTAAGTGTGGACTGTAAAACTATTAAGTATGTGTATTAATATTAAAATCTTTCAGATGTAAGAGACAACTCATTCAGCCGATCTAGGAGTTCCAGTGTAACCAGCATTGATAAGGAATCTCGAGAAGCAATTTCAGCTCTTCACTTCTGTGAGACTTTCACACGGAAAGCTGATACAGCTCCCTCACCATGCTTGTGGGTTGGGACCACTTTGGGCACAGTTCTAGTCATTGCCTTGAATTTACCCCCAGGAGGAGAGCAAAGATTAGTACAGCCTGTAATTGTATCCCCCAGTGGTATGTATTATATAGGCAATGAATTAGTTACAATAGTTATTTCATAAAATAAATTAAATAAAATAATATGTATTTGTAATTCTGAAATGTATTGTGCTGTTATTTGATGTAAATATAATAATATGCATAGGTATAGCCAGAATATTATGTTATTGGAAATAAAAGTCTTGAAATGAGCAATAAAAATACTGTGTTCATATAAAGTTTGGCCAGAACAGTTAAAATCCTTATATTTGGGGCCTCCTGCTAGTCTAGATAACATATTCAGCACATTGTTTTTCTGTCTGAACCAGATCTAAATTTCAGTATATTCTTTTTAATTATATTTATATTTTGCACCAAACAGATTTAAGAATATATAAAATAAATATATCTTGTTTATATTATTTATAGTCCACCTTTTTCACCGAGACTCAAGGTAGATTATATAATGTAAATCAGTACAATCAATAGGATGATGAGACATATCATAAATCATGTAATGTGACTTGGATTTCAGAACCTGAAACAAAGCATAGAGTATTAGATAAGAGGTTTTAAGTAGTGCAAGATATATTAATGAGTAAATAAAAATATAATACAGTGAGAGCAAGGTAAAAAAAAAAAGTTTGAGAGCCTTCCTGATCTCCTCAGGCAGGCTATTCCATAGGCCGGGGGCCTACAGAGAGTGCATGTGTCTAGGCATTTGCTGATCTGGCCCATTTCCAGGGTGACACCAGTAGAAGGCACTGTTCAGATGAGTGAAGGTGTTATGGTGGGGCATAGGAAGAGAGGTGGTCCTGTAGATATGAAGGTCTACGGCCATGAAATACTTTGTATGTAATGGCCAGTAACTTGAACTGAACCTGGTGACTAACTGACAACTAATGCAGTGACTGCAGAATGGAGTGAATGAAAAATTACTTAAATTACATTGCAGTCTTAAACAGAGTTACAGCCTTCTAAACCCAGTGACTTCAATGAACCTTGAAGGCCATAGGTCTTCCTAGGATTTGCCCTGTTAGTGTTTTAAACTACTGTATATAAGAAATTGACAATCCAAACTGTGCTTCAATTTCAGAAATATAGCATCTCTGTAAAATGTTGTTTAAACAGCTGCATTAAAAGACACATATGCCTCATGAGATATGCAATCTCTATAATTAATATCTAAATGCATTATGCTTAATTTAAATGCCTCTGTGAGTGTGATTAGAAGACTCTTTTGAGAAGCTGTATATCAATGGGGCTTGTTCAGCATTTCAATAGCTGTATGAAATTCTTCTTGAAAAAAGTATTATGATTATGACTTTGATACAGTATTTTTTAATCCATAATCCAAGGCTGAGGTTTGTGTAATTCAGCCTTCTAGTAGTATTAGATAGTTTTCTGAATCATTGTGAAGTAACATAGCATCCCCAAACCACCTTATTGGAGACATTTTTTAGTTTGTAATGAATAACCTTTTAATTCACATTTCCAACAACATCTATTAGAAATAGATTCAGGAGGTAGCTGTGTTGGTCTAAAGTAGCAGAACAATTTTTGATTCCAGTGGCACCTTGAAGACAAAGTTTTATTTATGTACACTCACACTTCTTCAGATACAATGAAATGGAAGTTACCAGTCCATACATATAGGTAGAGGATGAGCAGTAAAGTAGCATACAACATGATGAAAATGTTTAACAGATTCAAGGACCAAACAGGAATACCAAGCTTTGGTTATATGATTACCATGTGTTTGGGTTTTAATTCCAGGGGAAACATAGTGAAGGGTAATAAATATATCAAAATTGGAGATTGATGGACAGATGTATGAGATTAACAGGTTATCGTGTCCAAGTTAGGACTAGGTCAAGAAAGAAAAATGAAACTGGTATTCTTATTAGCGGTACTATTTAAACTTTAGAGGGCCATTTTTATTAATAACAACTATTATATAAATTTACTTTTTATAGTTTCTCCAGTTTGATCTTTGCTTAAGAGTATAGGCGGGTCCCTTAAATGTGCTCTTTGAAGACTTCAGTTTGGATAGTGTCTTTGTTCAGGAATGGTGCATAAGCACATGAAACAGGTGCTACTGATAGGGCTACCAGCTCCCCTGGGAGGGCGGAGGTTCCCCCACTCAAAGGGTCCCCAATCCGCCGGTCTGGAAAAGGCCGGCGAGAGAACCCCGCCCCCAATGTGCCCAGTTTGGGCCAGAAGTGACATCATCAAGTTGTGCACGTCGCCAGCTGACGCTCTAGCAATCAGCCTGAAAACTCTATGGTACCATAGAGTTTTCAGGCTGACTGCTAGAGCGTCAGCTGGCGATGTGCCCAACGTGATGACGTCACTTCCGAGTGATGTCAACGCAACTTGCGTGCACACAAATGTCCCAACCAGGGACCAACTGTCTCCTGCTTATAACTGTAAGTCATTTGGCAACCCTAGCTACTGAAATCAGTAATTTAAATGTGTACACAAGTTCTTTTCAAACTAGGTCTGAATCTAAGGATGGGCTAAAATAGACTTCAGAATAGTTGCAAGATATTCCTGACCAACCAGAAATTGAACTGAAGAGAAATTTAGTAATGTTCTCAACTTCTGTGTCTTAGGAACCATACTGAGACTTAAAGGAGCAATCCTGAGAATGGCTTTTCTGGACACTACAGGATCATTAGTTGCACCAGCATATGAAGCCTGGAGAGAACCCAATGTTCTTGAAGACAAGGATGAAAAGGATAAGTCAAAAAAACGGCGGCCTGTCTCTGTGTCTCCATCATCATCTCAGGAAATCAGTGAAAATCAATATGCAGTGATATGTTCTGAAAAGCAAGCAAAAGTTATTTCACTGCCCTCACAGAACTGTACTTATAAGCAAAATATAACAGAGACTTCATTTGTTCTTCGTGGGGACATAGTGGCACTCAGCAATGGTATCTGCCTTGCTTGTTTTTGTGCCAATGGACACATAATGACTTTTAGGTAAGGCATTAAATGCTAGAAGGAAAAGTGCAGTTACCATACATGTATTTGCTGAAAATGGATTACTGTCCAGGAAAACAAGTAAAATGTACCTAGATGAATAAGAGCACAACTATTTAACAAAAATTTCCTTAAGGGGAAGCTTTCAATATGTTCTTTTAGATACTTAAACTATAGGTGTATGTCTAATTATTTTGATTATAGTCTGCTTTTCTTACTTCGAAGAGAAAAGTTGCTGGTTTTATGCTGCTGCTATGTATCCCATCCATTAATTTTCTAACAAAACAATGGACTGGTTAAATTGATTTTCTGGTACACGGTGAACTTGAGACTGGTTCTCATACAGCCACATGCAGTTTGCACATTCACAGAAATATGAGAGAAAATTTTACTTCAATTTACATTGAAGGTTCCATATAACCCTAAGGTTTATTTCCCTCATATGCAACCTAAACTCTGCTATATGTGATCCAGTCCACAGTTTATGTGATCTACTGTAATTGCGTGATAGTAAAAACCAGTATTGTCCTTTTCTTTCTTCGTTGCATGCAATTTCATTCTTTTGGCTTGATTTGCATATTTGCACTCCAAAACTGTTAAGATCAATTTTGTTTTGGTATGCTCTGTGCCACTGGTTCAGTGTAGATGGTGCACCAAAGAATGGTTTGTGCTAAGCTTAGTTCAGGACCCAAATAATGGTTTGATATTCCAAAAATGGGCAAAAAGTGATTTAGACTTGCTTGCCTGCTTTCATTTTCTGTCCATTCAGGAGTGCAGTGGCTTCTGAGGATGAAGCAATAGCCACAGCTTTGGTTTGCCGAGATGTTATGTTAGACAATAATTAGCACAAATTGTGGTTTGCAAACCCATTTCAAATTATGGTTTCTAATTCTACTTTGTCAGCCTATCTGAAACAATGCTTTTGGAATCCAGGCATCAAACTAAAGCAGAGTTGAGCTTCCTTAACTGTATTTTGACATGATGTCTGTATTAAGCCATTATGGGTTGGATCCACACGCCTATCTACATGAGTAGAAGCATCCCCCTTCCTGCTGCAGCCATATGTGTGGACTTGCACACACCTGTTGCCTCCTGACCCCCAACGCAGCTTGAGAGGGGCACGGGGGCCTGCAGTAGAAAAATTCCATTCTACTTGTGATTCTCTGGTTCCTGCCCTATTTTTTAACCAATATGCATTGGAGTAGATTTTGAAATATAATGAAGCACATAGAAGCCTTAACTTGTCTTTAAGCAAATAATATTTGTTCATTTTTTCCCTACTTTGTGGCAGTCTGTGGCCTACCTCTGGTGTGTTTTCTACAGTCACCAAAACATAGTGATGCAATGCAGTTTGATTGATTGTGTGTGCCCTACAAAATCATACTCTTTATCTTACCACAGGGACTTGGAGCAGTTGCTTAATAATTCCTTTTATGCACCATGTCTAATGAAGTTTAACACCAGGACTTAATGGGCATACTTTTACTAGTATTTTTCAGGATTGCTATCTACTTTTTGAAGTATTTCAGGGTAGTCTTCATCTATAAGAAGAGAGATTGCTCCTGTTTTTCCTGAGATGTATTTTTGGAACACCTATAAATGTTACCCCCGTGTAATGTGCAATAGAAACATTATAGGAGAGTCCCAAACACTGCATCACTGCTTCTGCAGTTTGGGACTTGTGTCCACTTAATATATAAACATTTAGGTTGGCTTTCTTGCTTGTCATTTATAGGATGTAACTTTAGTCCATGCAAGCAGATTTCAGCAGTTACCATGTCCAGCAACAAGGAAACCAATTTTTTCCTCTTCTTTTCCAGCCACCATCCTAAAAAAAATTATGCATGAAAAATCCCAGACATATTTAATGTGATTTAATTCCCATTCCTAGAGACTTTTATATACCGACTGGACAATAAATCACTATTGCTTTTCATACTCTTGTTACGTTCATATTTTTGAAAAGTTTAGATTGTTAACATAAATTAACAATAGAAGTCTGCTATGTATTTTCAGTTGGCAAGTAGGCTGAATTTCTGGGGCTAGGGGCCTAGAGGAATCTCTGGTCTTGATGTCAGCCTAAAAAGATAAGGAGAAGAGAGCTTACTGCACTGTATCAGGTTAAAAAACAGCAATGATAAGAACTCTTATTTCATGTTAACAATCTTTTAATTCTATTCTCAAGTTTGCCAAGTTTAAGGCCGCTGTTGGATGTTTATTACTTGCCACTTACCAACATGCGAATAGCCAGAACATTTTGCTTCACCAACAACGGGCAGGCATTGTACCTTGTCTCACCTACAGAAATCCAGAGAATCACCTACAGTCAAGAAACATGTGAAAATCTACAGGTAAAGTATGGAATATTGTTGCATTCCTTTTTTAGTGGTGATAGAGAAGCATTCTCTGGAAGACAAGCTATTTCATTTTGTGATATTGTGATTCTGATCATAGCTTATCGAGACATGCAGATTGTATAGGCACAGATGAGATGTTGATCTGTATAACATAGGAGGCAGCTATACTTAGTTTAAAATGGAAAGGCTATACTTAGTTTAACATGTATTTGCCTAAAATCATGGAACATCACAAACTATTTCAGTTTGGTGGAAACAAAAAGGTTACACGCTCCAGATTTGGTTTCTGAGAGAAAAGCAGGATCAGTATAGACCTGTGAGCAAAGCTGTTTTTAGATTTTACAGAAAAATCTTTCCCATTTTGACCTGCATCGATTGTTTTAGTAATCAGTGAGAGGAAGTGAATAACTTGACACTCTACCCTGTATTAAACTTAAGAGTACAGGCAACAATTTGTCCGGCTGGTTGGTTGTATTGTCCTAGTATTGATTCTGCAGTTAACGGCTCAGTTCCTCAATCATTAGTTACATGGTGAAACAGTTATGTGAATTCTTCTGTTCTTCTACCTATACCGTTCCTGCTATTCCAAATCATGCAATTGCTATCAACATGTTTCAATGCATCTGTGCAGCTGATTTATAGCTTTTTCAAAGCAAGGGACATTTGGTTTGCCAAAGGTACTTTGCCATTGCCCTGCGTCTGCGTAGCAGCCCCAGACTTCTTTGGTAGTCTCCCATCCAAGTACTAACCAAAGCTGACCCTGCTTAGCCTCCAAGACCAGGTAGCCTGTGCGATTCAAGTCAGGGCATTATCAATATACATTCTGTTAAATGACCAAACTTACATTTGCATGAAGGTGTTATATTTGTAATAAGCAATTCAATTCTGTGAAGAAAATGAGATGTGGAGAGCTTGAGAGATGACAGCCTTTAATCTGAAAGAAAGGTGATGTCATAAAGCATCATTATGTGTCTTAAGAACCAAATTTTAAAGAATAGATCTAATATGCACAATACTATGGGTTCTCTCAGTTTCTGCAGTCCACTGGTGTTGAATTGTTTGACATGCTGAATTATTAGATCTTAAATACATGTGAGAATTTAGCAAAAGCGCTCTTGTCTTTTGATGTAAAATCCAAACATAATTTTTGGGGTTGGCTGAAAATGACTTTTCTATCTCTCTAAAGGAAATGTTGGGTGAACTCTTCACACCAGTAGAAACACCAGAGGCACCAAATAGGGGGTTCTTCAAAGGCCTGTTTGGTGGTGGAGCACAGTCACTTGACCGAGAAGAACTTTGTAAGTTGTAGCTTTTAAAAATAAGCATATTTTTAGATGATAAAAGTGAGGTAATATAATTCAAATCATAAAATTAAGCATGCAAAATAATAAATTAAGACCCTAACTATATGTGATGCTGGGGATCATTCTTGAAAAGGCAACCACATTTGGGGGGTGAATTGGGGCTACAAATGAGGGGTTACTTCTTTCCTACCCCCTCAAGTCATTTCTCTAATCAGAAATGCCTCTTAACTCCTTTAAGCCACAGGTGGGGGAAAATGTGTATATGTTTCAAACTTGTCATTTTTCCTTCAGGCTTAACACAGTAGGGGGCAGTCACTTCTTATCATGAAAATGACATAGAGGAGGGGAGGATTTAACTGACACACATACACTAAGGCTGGCTTAAAAACACGTCTGGAAGATCCGTTCATGAATTCCATGTGTTTTGTGTGGCTCAGTTTTGAAGCTACTGCAGCACTGCCTCTATGTGACTACCTGTAATTAATTACAGTTATCTATTATTGAATCAAATGTTTTTGACAGAATTCTTGCCCAGTTACAGCAAAATCCACATACATGCACTTACCATTCATTATACTCATTACCTGAGTACCAGCCAGCCACTTTCAGTCTGGCCACCTCACAGTTAGGAACACCTCAGCCCATTGGTTTTACTCAGGTTCACCTAGCTTTGCGTAGGATTAGACTGCTAAGCCATAGTCCTATTTGCTTATATACTAAGCAAACATTAAAGACTATATTGAAAGCCTAGAAATTTGACTCCTTAAGTAATTGTAAAACATGGCTTGGATCCAGTGATCCAACAGTAGAATGCACTGATGTTTGCAGATCTTTCACATATTATCCCCTGCCTAGCAGTGCTTTCCAATTCCATGAAAGTTTATTCCCAGGGTTGCGGGACACATATTGACTAATAGCCATGTGGATGGGGAAACTGCAATGTGGATGGGGAAGGAGACAAAATTGCCCTGTCTTGCCTTTTCTGTCAGCACAGCGCCAAGATTTCACCTCCTCTCCTCTGTAGTCTCTGTATGGCTGTTAGTCCACAGGGGTCTTATGAAACCAGGGATAATTTTTTACAGGGTCAGAAAGAACTGCTTGGGGGTGGTAGTGGAAAGGTTACGATCCTGCCATCTATAGATTATTATTTACTGACTTCATTTATACCCTGTGTTTTCCCGATTAGTACCCAAAGTGGCTTACATTATTCTCCTCTCCTCCATTTTATCCTCACAACAATGCTGTGAGGTAGATAGGCTCAGAAGGTGTGACTGGCCCCGAGTCACCCAGCAAGCTTCCATAGGCGGAGGGAGAATTCAAACCTGGGCTGGATCCAGATCCACAGCTCCTTCCACAATTAACCTGGAAGAAATACATTCTTTCCAATCAGTTTTATAAAGTATCCTGACAGTGTTGTTCTGTCAATCTGTTTCATTCCAGCATGTTCTGTTTTCCCTCCATCTTTTTTCAGGCTGATGTTTTTCCTGGCAATTGCAGTGCCACCAGTCTGTATGTGGACCAGTAATGCACTATTGAGGTTTCCCTGTGCTACTGATCCTTAAATCTTCAGCTTTCTCTCTGTTCTAAAGCAATTTCCATTTCTTAGTGTAATTAATTGTCTCTTAGGAGTGTTGTGGTATCCTGCATAAACCCTTAATTGATCCTTGTTGAGGGTATTATTAATTTTCTTAACTGCATCATTACAAAATTACAGTCATAAAAATTACTAAGCAATATGCTTTACTCAAAGAGAAATTTAGTAATTAAAGCATCTTTCCCTCTCCCCCAAGGGAAAGTTGTACAAGTGAACAGGAACCAAATAATTAAGCACAGTGAAGCAGAAATGGCTGTGGAACAAAAATAAGTAACTATCTAAAGGGACTTTTACTAAGAACAGTAGGACTTTTGCTAATGGGATTTCTCCCCAAGTATAACTAAAAGTAGGATCTCGCCTATGAGGATAAATAATGTCAGATTTTTAAGAGGAGTACAGTGCTGTGCGGGAACACCATCTCCGTTCTACTTGTAGCTGATTGTATAAAAGCAATATTTCAGTAGCACAAAACATCACAGTATGTAAGTGTGTGAAAAAGAGGGCTGCACCAAAGCAGAATCAAGGAAGGGAAGAAAAACCAATGGTGCTTTGAGATAATAAACTTTGTCACCTGAAGATCCCTAGATGTTTCGCATGCAGCTTGGTCAGGGGGGTCTGTAAGGCAACTGTGCAGTTATGTGACTGTATATCTAACTGGACACTGGTCACCTGTTCTAGAGCCTACTCATGGTGGGAACAAATTTAGAGTCCAATGGCACCTTTAAGACCATTGGACTCTAAATTTGTAGTACTGCTTCAGACCAACACGGCTGACCATCTGGATCTATCTTCATGGTGGGAACACTCTAAGAGCCTTACAGATCCCCCTGACAAATTTGCACGTGAAACATACAGGGATCTTTGAGTGAAATAATATTTCTTTTCCCAACTGCACCATTGTTTTTCTTTTCTTTTCTATAATTCTGCATAGGATGGATACGGCACACCTTTTTTTCTCCCTTAGGGGAAAAAAACATTTAGCTACATTGCTACCCTCCAGGAACACGTGTTCCTGAGATTCCCGTTATTTGAAGAGGCTCGTGCTAAACTTATTAATCCCCTTCTGGCAGGCACTTCGGATCAGGACAAGATGGAGAACTTGTTTCTTAATCTTGAACATACAGCCCTCCATCAGATCGCGAAATTTTGTTCCTTGGTGGTAGAAGTGCATCAGCAGGATGGTTGTCACTAGGGCCAGGACTGTTTGATTTTAACTGGTACCGTTCCTTTTGGTACTATATTTTATTCTTTTATACTATACTGTGCTTTATGGCAGCGTATTTACAGTTTGGTCTTTTTACCTTGTTGAATTTCGGAAATTTTACTATCTGGCCATTGTAATTTATTTATTCTGGTTTTATATTGCTGGCTAATCGCTGTTACAATAAATTCATTCATTCACCTTTACACCAGCAACCGTTCTCCTGTTGGTGTAACCCTTCCTTCCTTTCCCCCCCCCATTCTGGAGCCTCTATGGCCAAATACATTCAGGAACAATAACTTGTGTCCATTTTTATAAGCCTTCAGAAGGACATCAAAGGTTATGCATTTGAAACTGTTCTTAGTAACATTTTGTTGATCTTAATGAAACAAACCAAGAAATAACTTAGTATAGAAATTCAAAAAAGGGATTCAAAAGGCAAAATATTCTAATATCATCAAAGGCAAAAAGTATTTCAACTTCTAACCCTCTGAACCCAAGGAAAGTTCGTTCAGGTACTTGGCTGCAATCCCTCTTGTTATGGCCATGTTTACATTTTCCCATCATATTATGGATATTTTTCTAGTTCATTATAAATAATACAAAAATGTATCGTATGTAGGCCAAGTGTAATAACTGTCACCTGAGTCTCAAACACTCTTGATTGAACAACTGTATTTCATAAGAATTCATCAGTTAATTTTATCATAAAAATCTATTCTGTTTTCAAAGCCACTTAACTAGTGACAGTCTTGCGGGGTTTGTTTTCTTGTTTCGTGACCAGTTGGAGAATCGGCTGCGGGAAAGGCATCAAGGAGCCTTGCTCAGCATATTCCAGGACCTGGTGGCATTGAAGGGGTCAAAGGAGCAGCATCTGGAATTGTTTGTGAATTAGCACGAGCAAGGCTAGCGCTAGATGAAAGAGGACAGAAGTTGGGAGAACTGGAGGAAAGAACAGCAGCTATGTTAACCAGTGCTGATTCTTTCTCTAAGCATGCTCATGAGGTAAGTCATTCTATCTAGGGGGTATCTGTATGGGTCTTTACTATAGGGAAATTTAGCTGTGTGTTCCCCCTCCCCTTGGTTTCCTCTCATGCACTTGCATCTGGTAGCCTGGGAATTGATTCCATGTGGTGCCATTCCACATCATTAAGGAGTGAGTTGCATGGAGGGCTGGTTGAATGGGGCTTTCTGATACAATCAGTATCCAGTCTTGTGGAGTCCTGGTCATACGTGGAAGATACTAATTGGATTTTATATTGTCCTGAGAAGATGGAAAGAAGGCTTATAATGACTGGCTTAAATTCATGTGTTTGTGTACCTGTAAATCTCACTCATTTCACTCTTCATCTACTTAACTTCTATAGTGACGTTATTTCTATAATGGGTTACTTACCTATTCTTTGATATGTTCCCTCTTTCCCAGGGTTAAACTGTATTTTATACACGATCCTATGCATGACTGAGTTGTGTTTCTTGTGTTTTGTTTATAGATGATGATAAAATGCAAAGATAAGAAATGGTACCAGTTCTGACAACGCATTTCCAAATGCATCTATATAACTTTACCTTGAAGAAAAATCTCCTTTTCATTCACTTCTGCAGGACCAGCAGAATTGGAAGGGTGTCAGCCAATGGATACTGTTGTTTCCTAGCACAAATTATACACTGTTTTACCTCAGTCACACAGCTTTAACTGAGGATCATTACATTTAAAACTGACACCTGCACAGTCACACAGTGTGGAAGTTCATCTGACCTGTGGGCTGACTGGGAGCCTGGGAACCGAGCTGGTTACAAAGAAAAAGTGATGGACAAAAGGGAAAATTGGTATCAGAAGATGAGCAGGGGCAATGCAGGCTCTGTCCTGTGTTAATATTCATATGCCAAAAGTTTTTGTGCTATTGTTGTTGCTGCCAGTGTTTCACCCTCCCATGGGAGGTTGCAATAAATCAGGGGTCCAAGAGCTAGAATAAAGGTATTCATTTTACAGGACTACCAGTAGCTGATCTAACCTACCCTCCTTAGAGCACGTCATTATAGTTGTTACTGGAAATGACTTATTTCTCTACCACCTCTCTGATCTGACAAACTGGAAGTGTGTGAGCTCCCTCCTGAATCTTTACATAGGTAACATGCACATAGTCTTTTCTTGGACCCCTGATCTAGTATTCTTGTCTTTGCATCATCATACTATGTCAAGTGCAAAACAAGACGATAAGTTACTTTTGCGTTGTAAAAAAAAGTGAATTATATGATTGAACTGCACATCATGCTGGAAAATTTTGTGTTTATGGCTGTGTAGTGTGAAAAGTAAAAACATTTATTACAATGAGAAAAATATTTGTCATCTTTCAGCCAGTTATTTTTATTTCCCTGCCAATCCAGTTGGGTCAGTTTCCTAAAATATTTTTAATTGGTTATAAGTTTAGTTCATGTTGTGCATTTTCTTTTGTGTGTTTAACAGAATGTATTTGTGCAAACAATTAAAATCAGTCATTTTTAGCTAGTTTATGAGCCCAGTCAGAACTGAAGCACCATATGAAATGGTTTAGAGTTCCAGCATTGTTGAAGTTCAGTGCATTTCTTATAAATTCCTTAAGATTAGCAGTCCAAACTAATCCAGTTCATGGAATTGCTACCAAGTCAAACCTACCAGGGAAGAAATGGCCACCAGAATCCTGAGCACACTTAATCTGGAAGTAAGTTCTCTTGATCCAAATTGAATTTTCTTCCATGTTAGTGTCCTTAAGTTCACTACATGAACCTCAGAATGAAGCCTGTAGGAATGGCTTTTTCCCTAAAAAATAGCAAAAATGTAACCAGTGTTGGTATCACTTCAGGAATTTGTAGATTGCTACTTAGATTCTTGTGAGAAAATGGATTTATGATGTGCCAAATTTAAGCAGTATATTTTAGCTAATAAAGGCCGTAATGTCATAAGAGCAAATGGATTTATTTTTAAAAAATTAGGAAAATGCATAATAAAGATCCTTATTGATATATATGAAACTGGGAATAGTGACTAATTTGTCATCATTCACAAATAGCCTTGATTAGTGTAGGGTTTATTAGTGACCAAGTATCAGTGCATATTCAGAGGTTGGAGGGAATTTTTTCTTCAACATGGAGTGAACACAGCCTTCAGGTTGATACAAAATATGTTGGTGTTCATTGGTGTGGCAAATCATGATCTTAATGCTCCTCCAAATAATTTGATTTGAGCATAACTCTGTGTGTGTGCGTGCGTGCGTGGTTCAATAAATGCTGAAAAAGTTACTAATTGGTCATGCATAGTGCAGTCTTTTAAATTAATTTTACTTCTGTATAACAGTACTTAGGGTCAGGTTTTAATCCCCTTGAATTTAACTAAGACTCCACAATAGCTTGGGTACAAAGAAAAGTTGCTTCTAGGGGTGGGACTACAGACAGCTGCAGAAATGTCTGAATCTGCTTGTCAGTTTTATCAGATCTTGTTATGTTTAAATACACCCATTCCAAACTCCTCTGTAGTAGATATTTTCCATAGAATCCAGCTGACTACATGAGAAGCAGATTCAAATATTTCTGCAATCATATAAAGCCCCAAGCCTGTAGAAATAATTTTGGACAGTATCCAAACTGCTGCAGCAACAAATGAATTAGGCCTAAGGCAGCTTGCTAAGGGGCTACAATTATTAAGTGCTTTTCTTCTTTCTGCTGCTTGAAATTATATCAAGGGTTTTTTATGCGGAATTACCTGAGTTGCAGTTAAGTATATGTGAATATATTGAATGAGACACATAGGCCAAATAGTGAAAAAGTAACTGACGCAACATTAAAATGCCAATAGTAATACAAGGATTTTCATCATGGTAACACAAGCACACTTGCCATGAAACTTCTCTGTGCAGTAGCAGATGGGGTTTTCTCCATTGCTAATTTGAGTAAAAAGCATATAATCCAATCAGAGTTAAGCACTTTAAAGCCCCATTGAAGTACATCAAGTCCAGCAAGTCCTTTCTGCTAGGTTTCCCTTCAGAAAAAAAATCTTAGTGGAAGGGAGTCATTGCATCTAAGCCACAAATTTCAATATAAGAGATTTAAGTATGTGCTTAATTCTCTCACTGGCATACCTTTGGTTTTATTGTGCTGAACTTTGGATGGATTGTGCCCAACATTTATTACATTTGCATTTGTAGTTAGAAGCACAGTGGTATTTTTTTAAAAAAATGGGGTGAAAGGGATCTACCTTTCCCCAATGAATTAAAAATATACAGAAGAGAGTTATTTTGCTCACTGTAGAAATGTCTAGAAGATATTGGCATCAATGTTTCTTCCTGTGGGAAATTCTGGCAGTGTGTGTTCCTTGTGAAAAACAAAACATCATTTTGAAATTAAAGGTTTTGAAAAAAGTTGCTGAGCCCTGAAATGTCTGATAGTCTATGGCATATGAAGAAATACAAGAGAATGAGGAAGCTCATACTAACCAGAAGGTGTTGGTACACATCTATTACAGTTTCCTTAATGAGTGTATGTTTTCACATTTCATAAATAAATGAACTGACTTGCCTATGAAAATATCTGAGGGATTATTCTTTAGTCAATCCATGTATCATTTGGCCAGTTTTACCTGCTCTTCAACAGTGTCAGTTCCAGAGTAGCAGTACTAGTAGGATTACAACATTTCCATAGACCTTATATGTTTGGTATAATATTATGGAGAGATCACCACTGTTCTCTTGGATAGCATTTTAATTTGATTGTTTAGATTTGTTGAGGAATAAGGCTGTGTACAGATGATAGCTTTTAGAGGGCTGGAGGCTGTGCTATGGAATGTCATCACCTGTGATACGTTTGTTCATGTTTTCTAAGCCTCCCACAGTTTCTGCAGGTTTTTCTTACTGTTGAGCTGAATTTTCTCAGGGTTCAATTTGTGGTGTGAAATACAGTAATTCAGGGAGAGGGAAATCCCCCCAAAGCCCCTTCCAAATCTTACCTGTTTGCAGCTCTGGTCAGCTGCTAATTTAGCTCTTCTTTTCTGTTGGCCTTTTCTGTTCTATAAACTGTGAAGGTATCTTGAACCCAATCAGGTTTGGTTAAATCATGGCATTACTGAAGGGAAAGGAAGATATTCAGTGTGAGGATGTTGCCTGTAAGTATTGCTTACCCTTTTGTTACATAAGCACTTGCGATTTCTAGGAAGGCAATTTTGAGAAAAACCTACAGTCAGGACTATGAATACGCTCAAAAGAGACTGGAGAGAGGAGCACTGAAGGGAAAGTTTGACTGCTGTGGAGATTCTAACATTTGGGAGGAGTGCCTGTTGTTGCAGGAAACAACACTTTTACCTGCTTTTGTGCACCCCTGTCACCTCCCCAAAAGGCAAAAATGGAATGGGATGATCTTTGCAAACTAAGATGTTTGCAAAACATCTTCTCCCCCTATCCTATTTCTGTTTTTTTCTAGCTTTTTAAGCTGTGCCCTTAAAAAACCCCATAAACAATCCCTCAAGCATTACTAGTGCTGCTGCAGTACCCACGTTTTGGTCAGATGTTCTGATCACGTACTGGCTAATGTGTGTGATGAATACCTAGATCACTTTAGGAACTGTTATTAAAGGTTTTATTAAGTACATTAAAGGACAGAGTCCACATCCACTCATTTAGCTTTTTTAAAAGGGGTATGTATTTTATTTTCCTTAGTGATGTGCCTAGATCAGAAGCAGCTTGTGTGTATTATTAATTCCACCACTTCCTTTACTTGACTGGGATTACGGAAAGGGATTGATGAAAACAGTGAGAACAGGCTCACTCCCAAGAAGGCCCCCCCCCTCCTTCCCTCTGGTTGTACAGCTATCAAGTCGCTAACACTAGGCTAATGCTCTGTCCTGGTAGCAGCAACAATTTGCTGCTATTTCTTCAGAGAACTAAGCATCTGTACACAGTCTAGGTGAACTATTTTTTTTTTATATTGATAAAATGCAAATGAACTGCTGCTATTTGTCTTTCATTTAATGTTACCAAGTTTATTATAAACTGAAGAGATGTTTCTTTAGTTTGGAAAACTGCCAAATTAAAACTTCTGAATGTTATTTTATGTATATATTTTATGTATTTCAAGTAAGTCCAAAAATGTGACACCATCAGCATTTCCAAACAAGTTCATTCTCTCACATTAGATATCAAGTATATTAAGCTGATTTTACATCAGTATGTCTTGTATTATTTTGTTAAATATTTTTTTTTGTTAGAGGTATCCCTCATGAGACAATACTATACTAGAAAGCTATAGCCAAAGGCGATATTTTGATGTCGTGACTCTTCCTTTTTTGCTTTCTATAGCACTGATCTAATCTGAAATATAAACTTGAATTTATTTTCCCTGCACTTTAACAGTGCAATGGTGTGCTTAGTTACTCCAGTTTAAGTTCATTGGTTTCAGTGGGTTTAACCTGGAGTAACTCTGTATAGGATTGCACTATCAGTAATGCAACCTTGAGTACTTAATCATTTTACATATATTTTCATTTTAAATTCATCTGTACATACAAAGTATAATTTAACAAACTGTAAACAAATAGCTATGCGTCCTCTGATGCACAGATAGATTCCTTGTAGACAAGGATTTTCCTACTCCATTCCAATAAAGGTAACAGATCTACGAAAGGAATAGACTTGTAGAACTTCTTCAGTGAAACGTAAAGGTGAAACGGTTATCAGTGGGGAAGCTCCACATGTAAATTAGACCTCCAGGACAAGAACAGATCATTCAGTCAGGGCAATTCAGTTTAAGCCACTCTAGATAATTTCTCTGCATCTCTATTTTTTAATTGTTGAAATTCTTTCAGATTTGTTTAACAATCACAATCACACAAACTGCAATCTAGTCTACAATAAAGTGCTCTTTAGTTCTGTGGAAATCAGTGGGAGTACAGCACAGGAGTTGTGGCTGGATTGCAACTGCAATTTTAACATATTTATACAAATTGCTCTAAGAATATAGTTTATCAAAATTTGTATATGTAAAGTCTAGGCTTTCATTTAAAATTGTTGTTATGAAAGAAAATGTATATATGATACATTATAATTTAAGAAACCTCATACCAAGATAAATTACCGATTAGCCCATTTTGATTTAACTAAAAAAAATGCAGAAACTAGCCTGAAGCATCCTCATTACTGTATTTAAGTAACTGTTCAGAGGGGAGAGTAAAATGTGTTTTAAACATATATCATATAAAGTATAAAACATTTTGGGTTAATTGCAGTTTGTTGATGGATATTTACATAACTTTTTTTTAATGAGAAGAAAAACTCTAGATTTTCAGGTGTTCAGCATTTTAAAGTAAATTTCCAAAATTAATGTTTCATGTATTTGTGTCAATTTAAAAG